GCAACATTAGAGGGCTGGGAAGAAAAAGAGAATTCCACAAAGGAGACTAAGGAGGAGCTGGAGAGGTAGGTGGAGAAGCAGGAGATAGAGAAAAAAAGACGGCTTCCTATGAACCACAGCTCTGGCATTCACGTCCTGCTGTTGTCCCCTACCCTAGAGTCTGGGTTGGCTCTGTGACTTGTTTTTGACTAATGTTATGGAAGTGATGACACTTCCATGCATTTCCAAGCCTAATTCACAGGAAGCTTGTAGATCCCACCAAGGTCTCTAGGAACTATTTGTAAGGGAAGTCAACCACTACATAGGAAGTCGGACTGCAGACTATCCTGAGACCAACACGCTGTGAGGAAGCCCAGCCAGCCACATGAAGTGGCCACATGGACAAAAGGAGAGACATCCAGCTGGCCCCGCGCTGCCGCAGCCATCCCAGCTGAGGCACCAGATGTAGGAATGAAGAACCCGTCTTGGACATTGCCATGGTTTGAATGTTTGCCGCTCTGAAACTCATGTTGAAACTTAATCCTCGGGCCGGCCTGTGGCTCACTCGGGAGAGTGCGGTGCTGATAACACCAAGGCCACGGGTTCGGATCCCATATAGGGATGGCCAGTTTGCTCACTGGGTGAGCGTGGTGCTGACAACACCAAGCCAAGGGTTGAGATCCCCTTACCGGTCATCTTTAAAAAAATAAAAAATAAAAAAAATAAGGGCCGGCCTGGTGGCGTACTGGAGAGTTCAGATCCCATGTGGAGACCGGTTCCGCTCACTGGCTGAGCGCGGTGCGGGCACACCACCGAGGGGTGCGATCCCGTTACCGGTCAGTAAAAAAGATAAAAAGGAAAAAAAAAAAAAGAAACTTAATCCTCAATGTAACAGTATTAAGGGGTGGGGACTTCAAAAGATAACTGGGTCATGAGGGGGCTCTATCCTCATGAATGGGTTAATCCATTCATGGATTAATGTGTTATCACAGGAGTGGGTTAGATATCATGAGAGTGGGTCTGTTATAAAAGTCAGTTTGGCAAGCTCCTGCACTCTCACCACACAATGTCCCCACCATGTAGTGACACAGTAAGAAGCCCTCACAGTTTCAGCCCCTTGACCCTGGACTTCCCAGCCTCCATAACTGTAACAAATAAATGTCTTTTCTTTATAAATTACCCAGTCGGTGGTATTCAGTTACAGCAACAGAAAACGGATGAAGACAGTCCAGACTAGTGGAGCCTTCAGGTGGCTCCAGCCACAGCCACCACTTGACTGCAACTGCAGAAAAGTTGGGACGAGAACTGCCAGTTGAGTCAGGCCTACCCACAGGACCAAGTGATAATAAAAAAACTCTTGGGCTGGCTGGTTATCTCAGCTAGTTAGAGCGCAGCCTTATGACACCAAGGTCATGGGTTCGGATTCGTATACCGACCAGCTGGCAAAAAAGAAAACAAAAAAACTCTTATTCTAAGCTATTATGTTTGTGGTAGTTAGTTAAAGAACAATACAGAATCAAAACAGTTGGTAATTGAATACCTCCACAGCCCTCTGGGGTAGACACTATTGTCCCCTCTTAACAGATGGCAAAATAAAGCCCAGAGAGGGAGTGACTCCGTGAGGCTCACATAGCTGGCTGGAGGCGGTGGCTGGGGTTTGGACCCAGCAGGTTTGCCTGATACCCGACTACGCTTTTTCCATAGCACACCCGAGGTGGACAAAGCATGTGGTTTGGCCCAGATTCCCAGAGTGTCTGAGGTGGCTCACCTGGGCACCTGCTGCAACCCTGGCTTGTTCTTTTTTACTGTCTTGTTTTGTTATTTTTTGTCGTTTTTTGGGGGGGGGCAGCTTGTTCTTTTTTTTTTTTTTTTTCCTTTTTTTTGTCTTTTTTCGTGTCTGGCAACGGATCGCAACCCTCAGTGTCGCGCCTGTACTGGACCGGGACCGGCAACGGGACCGCAACCCTCGGCGTCGCGCCCACACCTCGCTCAGCCAGTGAGTGGGAACCGGTCTGTATGTGGGATCCGAACCCTTGGGCGGGAGCGCCGCCGCACTCCCAAGCGGCGCACTGCTACAGTGCACCACCAGGCCGGCCTGGCTTGTTCTTTTTTAAAAGCAGGTTCTTCCTCCCTATTGAGATGTGACTTGCACAGTAAAATGCACAAATCATGAGTGTACAGTGTGGTGTTTACATCTGTATGTGCCCATTGCCTAGATCAAGATATGGAACATTTCTGGCACCAGAAATTTCCCTCGTGCCCACTGCCCGTCAATGTCCCCCCAGCCCAGACATATCCACAGTTCTGATGACCATCACTATAGTGGGTTTTCCTGTTCTTGAACTTCATATAAATAGAATTGTACAGCACATGCTCTTTGCTGGTTTTCTTCCGCGCAAAATTGTCTTGATAGACCTGAGCCTCATTTCTCCGTGTATATACGCAGGAGTGGAAATGCTAGGCCACAGGGGTGATGCATGTTCAACTTCATGAGAAATTGCCAGCTCCCCCGGTGGCTGCAGGAAGTCCTCTTCCACCTGCACTGCGTGAGAATTCCAGTTCTCCGTCTCCCTGGTGGTGTCAGTCCTTTTCACCTGAGCCGTTCTAGTAGTGGAGGGGAGGAAGGAGAGCTCATTGTCCTGGCTGGTGTGGAGCGCCGGGTGACTCGGGACATGCAGCACCTGTCTTTTTAGCTCACCCAGGCAGTCCTGATGAGGGGTGCGGTGGGAGGGAGGCCACTGAGGAGGATGTTGCTATAGCCCAGGTGTGAGACAGGGAGCCCCAGGCTGGGCTGAGGCCATCATGGAAGCAGAGGATAGGATTGAGACACGTCTGGGGCACTGGTGAGGATGTGGGGATGGTCACAGGCTCTGCCTCAACTATCTGGATGCCAGGGCTGCCAGTTGCAGATGTCCCATCTCCGAGTGGCTTGGGATGCTCCTTATCTCATAAGACAGGAAGTCCTGAGGCAGGACAGCACCAAGGCTGGGTGATTTGATGGCTTAGGGGCCCTGGCTTGCTCTTTCTGCTCTGTCATTTCCAGCACATCAAGGAGCAAGGTGGCGGCAGCATGGGGACCTCACCCTACACTGTCCAAAGGCCGGGACAGAGGTCCCCTTCTTTGTGCCTACCCCTTTTTTTTTTACCGGTGAGGGGATCCTAACCCTTGACTTGGTGTTGTCAGCACCACACTCTCCCGAGTGAGCCACGGGCCGGCCCTTCTTTGTGCCCCTTTTCACAAGCACAGAAGACCTTCCCAGATGACCTCTCTACCCCCACCCAAGAATGCCCCCATTCATCTCACTGGCTGGAACTGCATCCCATGGCCATTCCAGAACCAACCACCAGCAAGGGAATGGGATACATTTCCCCACATTCCACGAGGCTCCTCCTGTGAGTCTTTCCCTGAATACACCAGGGATATTCACAGGACATTTGCTCCTGCTGTTCCCTCTGCTGGGAATGCCCTTCCTGATTTTTCCATCTGAAAAGTCATATTTCAAAGTTGCTTCCAAAATCGCTCTTTGACCTGCAGGCTAGGTCAGGATCTCCTCTGGGTTCCTACAGCCTTCTGGGACCCAACCCAATGTGGCCTCTTTTTGTGGCTCAGAATGGGGATTCTTCCCAGCCCACGTGACCATTAGCATTACAGCCAGCCCTGCCGAGGACTCCCAGGACATACCCACTGCCCCCACCACCACCCTGCCCAGGCCTGGGCCTAGCCTCATACAAGACTGGGGCTGAAAGGAAAACACTCATTTAATGGAGAAGGAAATTAAGGCTCCGAGAGAGAATCTGACTTGCCCAAGGTCATAGTCAGGGGCAGTCTTGGCTCCAGGCCTCTTTCCAAGGCCTGGGCCCAGTAGCCTACTCCAGAATGTCTCAGGCTTTTTTTTTTTTTTCCCTGACCGGTAAGGGGATCACAACCCTCAGCACGGTGGGGTCAGCACCACGCTCAGCCAGTGAGCGCACCGGCCATCCCTATATAGGATCTGAACCCGCGGCCTCGGCGCTACCAGCACCTCACTCTCCCAAGGGAGCCACGGGGCCGGCCCCAGAATGTCTCAGGCTTTTTTTTTTTTTTTTTTCCCTGACTGGTAAGGGGATCACAACCCTCAGCACGGTGTGGTCTGCACCACGCTCAGCCAGTGAGCGCACCGGCCATCCCTATATAGGATCTGAACCCGCGGCCTCGGCGCTACCGGCACCTCCCTCTCCCAAGGGAGCCATGGGGCCGGTCCCAGAATGTCTCAGGCTTTGAGGTGCACGTGAGTCACTGGGGACCGTTAAGGTGCGCACTCTGGTTCAGTGGGTTGGGGTGAGGCCTGACTTGCTATTTCTAACAAGCTCCTGCTGCTGCTGGCCTGCAAACCACACTGGGATCAGTAGAGTCCTCGCCTCATGGAGGAACTGGATTCTCAACCCCGCCCTCAGAAGCCCACACGCCACTGCTCCAGGAAGGGTGTGGTGTGGTGGGGAAACCACTTTAAGAAACCCCAATCTCCATTTCCCATCCTGCACAGCCATTCAGGACACCAAAGCTGCTGGAACATTTTATTAAGAAGGTTCACGGAGCAGGAGAGAAACGCCTTCATGAGTGGTTCCAGCAGTTCCACTCCTAGCACCCCTCAGAGGAGGAGGTGGTGCGGTCCTCTGTCCATCTGTCCCTCTGTCCAGAGTCCCAGGGCATGGGTCCCCACAGGGTAGGAAGTAATTAGTAGGAGGTAGGGTAGAAACAGTGTGGCTGGCTTCCTGCCTCTGCCCACCAGTCAATCTGCCATGGCAACTGGCTGGACATCTGCCTGGGCCTCTGCCTCAGGGCAGGGCCACCAGCCCAGAAGCCCAAGCAGCAAGCGGCTACAGACAGAGGGGGAGCCAGTGTTGGAGGCACACGGCCACCAGAAATTGCATTTTAAAATGTACAAAGTGTATTTGAAAAGAAAAAAAAAAGGAAAAAAAAAAACTATATAAAAATCTCTTCACATATAAAATCCTGAAGAAGGTGCAAGATAAGAGCAGACAGAGGGGGAGCCAGTGTTGGAGGCACACGGCCACCAGAAATTGCATTTTAAAATGTACAAAGTGTATTTGAAAAGAAAAAAAAAAAGGAAAAAAAAAACTATATAAAAATCTCTTCACATATAAAATCCTGAAGAAGGTGCAAGATAAGACCCAGTGCGAGGGGCGCGCTCAGATACGCAGAGTGTGTGTGTGCGCGCGTGTGTGTGTGGGGGGGGAGGAATGTGGGTGCACATGTGGCCCACAGAGGGTGGGGAGAAGGCTTGGCTTCTGACTTCCATCCAGCAGGGAAGGAGGGTGACTGGTCCCCTTGGGCTGGAGGGTCTGCAGCTGGGCTGGACCACCAGGACCTGGAAGACAGGAGGAGCTGAGGCCTGGGGAAGCCTCCAGCCTAGGGCCTGGGCCCCAGCCTGCTTAGCTGGCCAGGGTGGCGAGCAGGCCCCTCCACCGCCACCAGCCCCAGAGGCTGAGCCCATCTGCTCCTCCGGGCTTCTCCCCACCAGCCTGGCCCACAGGACAGCCTCTCCCTATGCAGGAGGAAGTCACAAGGACTTCTCAGGAGGAGGATGCTCCAGGCAGACACGGTGTTAGCAAAGGCATAATAAAAACACTTCAAACCCTGTAAAACCAATGGCTCTGAGATGAAGTGGGACAGGGTGCTGGCCACGAGGCCTCAATGGGTGGCGGCTGAGGTGTGGAGCTCAGGGTGAGGAATGCGAAGTGATTAGATGCGGCCAGCTTCAGTCTGAAGGTGGATGCACCTGGGATTTGCCACCAGCCCCAAGGAGGGGTGGGGACTAATCAGGCTGTCACATTCTGACCTGCACTTCCTCTTGTCAAAATGCTCAAGTTGACAAAGCAGCCTCCAGCCCGAGTTTGACTGCGTCCCTGTGACAAACTGTGTTCCTGGTGTCATCATCCCATTTATAGAAAGGTTAATGGAGGCCAGGAGCAGAATGTGCCCTGGCCCAGGTGGACCAGTGAGTCAGTCGCGTGCGTGGGTGAGCCATGAGCTCACATCCCCGGGCCCAGTGCCCTCCTGGCCTCAACCTCCTGCTCACCTTAGTGCCTCCCCGCCCTGGCACCCACCTCTACTCGGCCAGGCTGTTGTGCATTGACTCCTTCTCGTGCAGGGCGGCCATAGCGAGGCGCAGGTGCTCCTTCAGCTGCTCAATCTCCCGCTCTGACCGTGTCTTGATGTGGTTCAGCTCCACATAAACATCCTGGTACTTTCCCGAGGCGAAGCACTTGTCCTGGGGGGCGGGGAGGGACAATGAGGGCACGAAGCCCTCCCTCCCCGGCCCTGCTCCCTCCTGGCCAGCACAGAGCAGCCAGGCCCCTCTGCAGCTCCATGCTTCATCCTTCCAGGTGGCCCCAGCCCTGGGCACACCCCTCCCTGCACCACCCAGTGACACAGGTTTCACTGTCCTTTTGATCCCATTTGAGAGGTGAGAGCTGAGGCTCAGGGAGGTGATGCTTTTGCCCAGGACCACCAGGCAGCGAATGGCTGGGATAAGAACCAGGCCTGCCCGGCCTGGTGCTTGTTCCCACTGCCTGTTCTTCGAGTGCACTCAGCACAGTTCTGGCTCACACACACTCACAGAGCCACCAGTACATCCACATCTGCCAGTGCAGGGATGTGGCAGCCAAGGGTGGGCCAGGCAGGCCACAGACTCAGGCTGGGCCTGAATCCCGGCCCTCCCAACTCCCGGCAACATGGCTCATTCCCACCAGAATGTGCGCTCCATGTGGGCACAGATGTTGGTCTGTTTTGTTCACAGCTGTGTCCCCAGCACCTAGCACAGTGCTGGCACATAGAAGGTGCTCAATAAATACTTGCTGAGTAAATGTGAGTGTGGGCTTGGGCAAGTCCCCTCCCCTTTCTTGGCCGATGTGGGAGAGGCACGAGGAGAGCCTCAGGACACGCTGCAGCAGGGAGGAAGCGGCACCAAGCAGGTGCTCACAGGACGGTAGCTGGGTGGCTCCAGAGGTCCCCCACCCCCCAACAACAGTGCTGCCCTAGTGGCCAGGACCCACCTTCTGCATCATCTGGAGCTCATCCCGGAGGCACTGCACCTCCTTTTTCAGGTACTGGAGCTCATTTTCCTTCACTCGCAGCAGCACCTGGAGTCAGGGGTGCCAGGCTGACCCAGGGCCAAAGGCTCGAGCTGTCCTGTCCCACAGTGCCCCACAGCCTGGCTCCTCTCTGCCTTGGGCCCCTACCTGCACCAAGACCCACTACATCCCAAGGGAGACTCCTCCAGGAAGCCCTCCCCAATTCTCCTGCTTTCCCTCACCTCACTCTCTCTCACCCCCGTCCCCAGCACGTGAGTCACCTCTGCAGCCCCAGCACAGCCCCAGGCCCTCAACTGGAGGATCAAGAGGATGAAGGGAAGCCGTATTGTGGCCCTACTGTGAACCACAGCAGGCTGGGCCTCCCCGCAGGCTACCTCGCTAACTCTGACCCAACCCCAGGGGCAGGTGTTGCTGACTAGACCAAGGAGGAGACAGGTTCAGCCAGGACTTGGGGAGCTTAAAAGCTTAGATTAGAGCCAAACTGCATGATTCCAATCCCAGCTCCAGCCACGCAACCCTGGGTACGTGCTTGACCCGCCTGCATCCCAGTTTCCTCATCTGTAAAATGGGGATAGTAACTGTATCAAGCTTACGGGGCTGTGAGGGAGATTAGATGAGTTAACAGATATAAAGAGCTTATGGAAGTTCTGGGCATGAAGTGAAGCCTTATGTGTTTCTTAAATAGATAAAATACTAAAGTGATCCTGGGATCACACACTCACGTTTTCTCACTCCAACTTCTCCCAGTAAAGGAGGTACTAGTCCCACTTTACAGATGAGCTACAGGGGCTCAGAAAAGTGGGGTGACCTGCTGTGACCCGGATAGGAGGGCTGGACTCTGGCTACTGGGCACATGGTGGGTGTTCTGGCTTAGCTGGGTTGGCCTCTCCTCACTGGGGCCTCGCCACTGGGAGACTTGGTGCTCCCTGCTGCAAGTGACATCCAGCCTGTTGGGGAGCTTTCCCACAGCCCCAGGCCCAGAGAACCGCTGCGCTACAGGCACACAGGGAGGGTACTCACCTCCAGCTCACAGGAGCTTCGCTCGCTGCTGCGCCCACAGCCGTTGCCCGTGCCCTGCGAGGTGACAAAGCTGCGCAGCCGGTCAATCTCCTCTGACAGGCGGGCATGCAGCTCCTGGGAGCGGAGGGATGGTCAGGGCAGGGATGCTGGGACCGCCATGGTCTGCTCCCATCCCACTGGGGCCAGGCTCACCTGGTTGTGGCGCAGCAGCTCCTGGCCCTCCTGCTGGCAGCACTGCAGCGTATGCTCGCGCTCCTCTGCCTGCCGTGTCAGGGCCCCAATCTCCAGGCACTTCTGTGAGTACTGCTCTGACAGCACCTGCAGCTCCCGCTTCAGCGCCTCCACATCTGACCTGCCCCAGAGGAGGAGGGAAGGATGGCACGGGCTCTCCTGCCCCCTGCCAAGCTTGGAGTTGGGTCATGGCAGACTCAGAGCAGCTCAGAACACCTGGATTCCCCCCCTAGCTTTGCCTTCAGCCCACTATGGAGATATGAACCAGTGACATCCTCTCTGGACTGCAGGTGTCCCCTCTAAGACAAGTGGGTTGGAGGAGCCCATCTCTAAAGTCCCTATAGCCCCAACGCTCCAGAACTGTGCTCTGTGTACAGGTCAACAGTGACACTACAACCGAGCTCCAGGGGACACTAAAGAGGTGAAGAGAGGGTGGAGGTCGAGACCAGCCTAGACAAGAAGGGCCTGAAGAACTATCTTGGAGGACTGGCATGGGGATCTGGCTGAGGCCCTGCTGCTTCTGTTCCTTGTGTCCGTGGGACTGGAATGGGAATCTCAGCTACAGCAAACTAATGTGCCCTCTACCAAAGGGCCTCTGCAAAGTTCTCAACTCAAAACCACCAGGGTGGGCAGCTGGGTCCCTGGCTCAGAGGGAGGCCCAGCCCACAGACCCCAGGTGCCATCTTACTGGTGCTGCTTCCGGAGGTCATCAGGACCCTGCTGGAGACTCCGTGTTTTGCTCAGCTGCCGGCTCAGCTCTTCCTGGTAGGCCTTCTTCATGGCTTCAATGGCTAGAGGCAGGGCAGAGGTGGAGGAGACATTGGAGAGGGGTCAGGAGCGCTGAGCTCCACCTCCTCTGAGACTCCACATGTACAGGTGGAGAAAGGACCAGGGTGAGCAAAGAGCACTGGATCCAGAGCCCCCAGCAGTATAGGCTGTGTCACGTACTAAGCGGCTCTGGGTAGGTGGCTCAACCTCTCTGGGCCTCTCTGTCAAAGGCAAGTAATTGTGTCTGATGGACCTGCTGGGGAGACACTTGAGTGTCTCACCACGGGTACTGCCTGTTGTTAGTGATTGCTGGGAATGACCCCACAGGGTGCACTGTCCCTGCAAAGCCTGGAAAGCTCTGGAACAAGGACTATCTGCCTTGCCCAGCCTAGTGGTCACGAGCTTGGGCTCTGCAGTCCTGTTGTTAGTGATTGCTGGGAATGACCCCACAGGGTGCACTGTCCCTGCAAAGCCTGGAAGGCTCTGGAACAAGGACTATCTGCCTTGCCCAGCCTAGTGGTCACGAGCTTGGGCTCTGCAGTTAGTACAGATCAATGTGACTTTACGCAGATGACTTAACTCCCTTGTGCCTCAGGTCCCTTATCTGGAAAATGGGGATAACAACAGCACCTTCTGTCCATAGGGCTATTGGAAAATGTGTGTAGAGCATTTAGAACAAGGCATGGCCTTGAGCAAATGACCAACCATTAGTTCCCGCTGGCTTTGCTACTCAGGCTGTGAGCTCCCAGGGCTTTTTCACACCCACACAGGGTTATTGCAAGGATTAAACAATTTTTTTTTTTTAATGATGACCGGTAAGGGGATCTTAACCCTTGGCTTGGTGTTGTAAGCACCACGCTCAGCCAGTGAGCGAACCAGCTACCCCTATATAGGATCCGAACCTATGGCCTTGGTGTTATCAGCACCACACTCTCCCAAGTGAGCCACGGGCCAGCCTGTAAACAAATTCTCATCCATAGTTTTCCAAAATCCAAAAGCTCTGAACACTGAAATTTTCTCATCACTCTTTTGGTGGCAATCCCTGACCTAAACACACGTGAGGCTATTTATGGTCTTTATTATTCCACTTCACTGTGACTTTCATCAATTTCACTGCAGAACCCTTAGTGCTGAATTATGGGATGAAGCCCAGACCCGGTTGGAGGGAGGGATATCCAATATATGGTGCCTGCATTGGGCGATCTTCCTAAAATGCAAAACACACTGGCCCCAAGGCTTGGCACGAAGGTCTGAGTGCACAAACACTCGGCACAGCCCAGCAGGTTGTTAAGCTCCAGATCATGGACCTCTTTCATCATTGCTGTTATTCTGCATCCCCCTCAGCAATGCCTAGGATACACCAGCCACACACGGCAGGCGTGCAGTGACCAGAAGGAGGAGGAAGTTGTCCACCATCTCAGGCACTTTCTGTTTCTGGCTTGGGAGGGCAGAGAGTAGGCTCAGAACACAGCTTTGCAGTCAGAGTGCTCTGGACTCCAACCCCCAAGCTGTACCTTCCGGGACAAGTCACTAACCAGTCTGAGCCCCAGTTTCTTCATCTGTGAAATGGGACCACTTCCTGGGGCACTGAAAGAACTAAGGGTGCTCCCGAGGGAACATGTAGGGGCCAAAACTGGCATGCAGAGGGGCTTGGGCAATGCTTACCCTTCCCCCCAGCTCTTCCTACGGCCTGGCCCGTGTGCCCAGGGAGATGGCATTCTATGAGGACAGGGTCGGTGACTGATCAGTCTCTCTCCACCAGCATGCGGGCAGTGTATGACTTGAGGTAGACCCCCCAGTGGCTGTAGGCCCCAAGGGAGAGGAGTCACAACCTATGGGGGGGTCTTTCACTGCCTTGGTTTCTGCTTTTCAAGTAGGCACTGCACCTCCTTATTTTGGGGCCTTCCAACCCCTCCTGACTCCTCACCCCAAGTTTGGTCTGGAGACACCCCCTTATTTATTGATTTATTTCTTAAAAAAGATGACCGGTAAGGGGATCTTAACCCTTGACTTGGTGTTGTCAGCACCAC